GAAAGCAACGGGACGTTTATTCCCATGCTCGTCTAGCTGTGACAGCACCGCGCCAAACGCAATGTGGCTCGCATCAGTTTCTAAAAATGTTTTAGCCAAAGGATTAAAATGAGCCAAAATTGGGGGTTTTGAAATTTTATCTAGAAGGGTGCGAAAAGCTTCCGAGTGTTGTGGTCCCCATTCAAATTTTGTGTCTTTCTTTACCAAATCATAAAGAGGTTTTGCGATTTTTGCCATGTTTGGTATACTCTTTCTATAATAGCCAATCATCCCGAGCGCCCTGAGTAATTCTTTCACGTTCTTTGGTTCATGGAGCTTAGATAAAATTGAGATTTTGTCCGCATCCACATGCACACCGTGAGGGCTGACTGACCAACCTAAAATGCTCATTTTTTGGAACCCAAAATAGCATTTTTGTGGTTTGAATCTTAGGTTTGCTGCGTCAAACCTTTGTAAAATGATATCTAGATTTTCCAGCAATTTCTCAAAGGTTGGTGCCCAAGAAAAAACATCATCCAAATAAGAAATTACTATTTTCCATCGCAGGTCACTCAAAATGCTGTCGCCAAGATTAGAAAATGTGGCGGGAGCATTATGGAGACCGAAGGGTAGGACTTTAAATTGATAGTGACCAGAGGAAGTGCTAAATGCTGTAAAAATTTTGCTACCTTCCTCCATAGGAATTTGAAAATAGGCTTGGTTCAAATCCAGGGCCGCGAAAAAATTCGCGCCGTGGAAACTAGCCAAAATGTCAGAAATTAGAGGCAAAAAGTAGGAATTTGGGTCTGAATGTTTGTTTATGCAGCGGTAATCAATAACTAATCTAGACCCACCCCCTTTTTTGGGAATAATGAAGGCTGGAGAAGAGAATGGGCTTTCTGATGGTTCAATAATATTTTTGGAAAGCAATCTGTCAATTTCAATTCGCATCGCTTCGCGCTGAGCCATTGATTCCCTGAAGGGTTTTTGTTTGATTATAGGTCCCTTGTACCTAATAATGTGTTGTATTTTGTTTGTGGTTGGTAAATCTTCTGTGTCGTGTGGGAAAAGGTGTTTATATTTTTCCAACAGAGTGCGCATTTGTGCCTTTTGTTCATTTGACAATTCAGGATTGATGTGAATTAAATCCAAAGGGTTCCCTTTCGGCGCCTCTGAAGGAGGGTCAATTGACTGTGTTGAAATTGGGAAAATTTCAATTTCCGGAAAAGATTCTAATTTGAAAAGGTGGAAAATTTTCTGGCCCTGAAATAAGCGCTGAGGTATTCTAGAAAGATTTTTAATCCAAACATTATTTGAGCCTTGAGTTACATGAAAAATGAAACTCGGCACAAATAGATGTTTTTTAATCAGTCGCTCTTCAGGCAAAGCAAAATATTCACCTTCTGTCAAATTGTGGGAAATTGAGATTGGTACCAATTTTCTCTCAAACGCGTCAATATCGAGTGTGTGTTGTGCGCAAATCGTTGCAATAGGGCGCACTTCGTCTATTTCCTCTTCCTCTGCAGGAGGTTGCATTGTCTCCTGAGATATTGAATTTATTTTATTTACAGGTTCAGCGAAAGAGGGACCCTCTGTTGCGGGGCCAAACAAAAGAACTTTATTTTTACAATTAATGTTAGCGTTGTTCGCACTGAGAAAATCAAAACCGAGCAAAATTTTAAGTGCAAAATTCTCTACCACTGCAAATGTATGTACAAAATCCGTGTTTTGGATTCGAATTTTTTGAGAAATCAAACCTAAAACCGGAATAAGACGGCCAGAAGCGCCTCGCAGCAAAATATTTGAATTACTCTTTACTTCCTTTTTATTCACTAATTCTGCAGAGACAATACTAAGCTGCGCTCCTGTGTCCGTCAGCGCGTGAACTGTTGCGCCATTAATATTTACAGGAATTTTTAAAACATGTGGATTAGCAGAATTGTCGCAAATTGTGACTGAATTGATTCCTACACTATTTCCGCTCGATTGAAAATTATTCTCATTGCAAGTGCGAACTGATTCAAAATTTACAGAGAGGGAGCCCCCAAAATGGGTTTTAGGGAGGGGTCGGGCCCCAATTTCTAAGCCCTCCCGTCTTGGTTTTCCTTGGCCGACGGGTAATGCACATGAACGGCATACGGCGCCGCCGCCTGCGGTGCCCCTGGGCCCGCCAGTGGCGGTGCTGGAAGAGCCGGAAAGGAAGGAAATGGCGGCAACGCGTTTTGTGGGCTGGCCGGTGGATAATATTGTGCCCCGTATGTCGGCTGGGGGTTCGCGACAGCCCCCGGGAGTCCAAAGTGGCCTCCTAAATTCCTCAAATCAAATTCGCGTTTGTAGCACGTGCTCTCCAAATGGCCCGTGCGCCGACAATAATTGCAAAGCATCGTGTTGCCCGAATTATAATACATACGGCCACCGCCCCGGCCGCCTCGACCCCGGCGGCCTCCACGGCCACTCCAGCCGCCACGGCCACGAGAAAAACCACCGCGGTCGTAATTAGCATAAGGCTGATCAGGGAAGTGGTTGGGTGTCGTGTACTGCGCCACAGCCTGCACAGGTGCCGCTTGTGGGGCTGCCTGCGAGGGCACCATGGCTGCGGGAATGTGAGAAGGTCCAGAAGAGAGTTGAATGGCTGCGATGCGCTTTTCAACTTTCTTCATCAATTTTTCCCCAATTTTGCGTTCAACTTTCTTACTATTTTTGGGGAGTTTTTTATTTTTCCTTTCAACCACGGCCGCGTGAGTTGAGGAAGAAGAGGAAGAATAAGAAGAAGTCGGATATGAAGAAGACTCACTGCCGCTATCGGACGCGTTAGTTGATTCGCTGTCCGAGACGGAAACCGACTTTTTCTTTTTACTCTTTTTCTTTGATTTACTTGATTTTTTGGTTTTTCCCTTTTTCCGCCTAGAGCGGCTGGACTCCGCGTCAAAGTCACTAGGAGGGCAAACTTTCCTCCGGTGTTCCAAAATGAGTTGATTTAGCGCCTGATCCTCTGCCCGCGCAATAAGTTCACCAATTGTAGTGGGAGAACCGATTCTATCCAAAATTGAGGGATGCAAATTATTGCAAATTAGGCGAATCCGCCTTGACTCTAGCATATGGGGGTCAACTCTATTGATCAAAGACAACATTTCCCCTACAAATTTGCGTGAATTTTCACCTCGTTTTTGGAACCTGGAGTAAAGTTCTCGCTCCGCCACATGTGCATCAGACTGCACATGTTGTGAATTTTTTAAGTCTGTCAAAAATTGAGCGAGCGTCACATTCGCGTTCGCCGGGTCTTCCTCATAGCCTTGTAGCCACTCCGATGCATAGCCCGTCAATTTGCACTTTAAAATATTAAGTGCTTCAGAGTCAGACCATTGATTGGCCGCTCTGACCCTATTGAAATGTGTCAAATATTCTCCGATACTTTGTTTGCCTTTGAAGAAGGCGAGGTCAATCGGCCGCGCACGGCTCGTAGGCTGATTTGCCATTTTATTTCCCGATTGAGAATTTTCGTCTCTATTGGTACTCGTGTCACGAGATTTGATTACTAACGGTTCAAGGTTAGGGACCGCAGGAGTTGAGCTACGAGGAATTTGCTGCTCAACAAGTTCCTCAGAAGGTGGCTCGTCCTGCACATCAATCAAACCGAACTGATTTGTAATCACCTCGATTTCGTCCTCTGATTGAGTGCCAATTATCTTACGCAGGGCATCAAGAGTGCCAACAGAAGTGTTTTCCACTTGTGCAAGATAATCAGACGGGGTAATATAAGGGGATAGGGAAGGGGTTGCAGCTTGTGTGAACGGCTGAAATTCGAGACTTTGAAGCTCTAAATAATCAGCTCGAGAGGAGGGTCCTGGCTGGTTTATGTCATAAGTTTGGTAGGCCAGGGTTGGGCCGATTTGTTCATAATCGCCCCCAGGAGGTGGAGAGTTTAAATTTCCCCTGGAGGGAAATAATAAACTACGGGAGGGATCGTCTCCGGAGGAACTTGACTCATCTAGATTTAAATCTTCCTCCGCCTTTGATTTACGGGAAAAAAAGTTTTTTGGTTTTCTGAAGAACAGAAAGAGAGATATCCAAAAATCCTCCCTTGCTCCTGGTTGATAGAGCGGGTGAGTCGGGAATGTGAGGAACCGATTTGCCCCTTTTTGGTGGCATGGGGAAAATCAGTTTTCCCAAGGGAAAAGCACCTATGCCGGAAAATCGACATTTAGGAGGCAGAAAAAATGGAACGGGGAATTTTATTAATGTCCCATTTTTTTATCTCTAGTCCCTTATTTTAAATAAGTGGAAAAGAGACATCTCGCCGGTGCCTCCAGATGTCAGGGTTACGCCCTGACGGTGCTAGATCCTATGGGAATAGTCAATTAAACAAATGTGATACCCAGGGAAGACATTGTTATTATTAAATATCCAAAGACAGTTATTACATAAATACCTTTAACGGAGGTGATACTTGAGAACGTCCGCGTGGGTTCGTCCCGTGGTGATGAGTGACGCCGCCGTCACTCATCACATACTAGGTGCTCATTTTTGCTTATTGTGCGCTCCCGGTGAGTGGGAGTAATTTATCACTAATTTACTGGGGAGCGCACTAATTCAAATCCTGACACAGTTGATTTTTCTAATTATCATTCACATATTGTAGTGTACACGGTGCGTGTCACGGCCACCTTGCTCGTCTTTTGCCTGTCAACGATTTAGCTTCCACCTTTGGCAGCTCCAATGACAAAGTAGCGTGCGCCGGCACGCATATTCATCATAAAAAATGTGTACCAAGTGCGTTGCTGGTCTTTTTAGGAGATGAGATATTGCAAAATCACTGCTTAAAGCAATAAGAAAATGACATGTGGACTCCGTATTGAGAAAAAAATTCCTTCTCCAAACCTGACGGAAACTTCTTTTGTAGAACAGGGTCACTGGCATAAAGTGGAATTAAAGTTTTACATCAACAAAATTCAATTACAAAATGAAAACTCTTATAAATTTCTTATATTTTGTTTAAAAATTTATATTTTTATGTCGTTAAGGAAATGTGGACATTGTGAACGGCAACCTGAAGCTGATTCTCGGACTCATCTGGTCACTGATTGTGCGATACCAGATCGGCCGCTCAAAATTCCCACCCAAGAAATTGATGCTCTCTTGGCTCAAGGTAAAATTATGCCATATTAACCTAATTAAAGCTTTTTTTGATTGCCAATTTTTTTCGTTTGCGCCTCCAGGCAGTGCTACCCGAGTGTCAGGTGCACAACTTCACCTCGGACTGGAACTCCGGAATCTACCTCAGCGCCCTGCTTGACTATTGCAAGCCGGGCCTCTTCCCTCACTGGCGCTCAATTGACCCCAATGATTCGTGCGTAGTTTTTTTTCTCTCAAATCACTTAAAAATAATAATGCTTTTTAAGTTTTTTTCCTCAGAAAAATCAATTTAACAAATTCATAGAAAGATAAATTTTCGTTTTCAGCGTCAATAATTGCCGTCGTGCTATGGAACTTGCGCAACGCGAGTTCCGCATACCAATGGTGCTGGAACCCGAGTACCTGGCGTCCCCTCACCTGGACGAATTGTCCGGGATGACTTACTTGAGTTACTTCATGAAAGAGGACAGCCCTGGTTTTCACGCCACTTTGCGTTGGGTCAATTCGCAACTGCCCAACCGCAACGTCAAAAATTTCACGGTAAGCACAAAAAAATTTATTTTAATTTCTGAAGAATTAAAAATTTATTCATATTTTAATATTTTTAATTTTTATCTGGAAGAAACTGAAAATTTTTGACAATCTGCGATTTAAATATACTTTGAAACCGTTCAATTTGTAATTAAAAAATTTCCATAAGAAAGTGAAATTATATTTTATTGATTAAATTAGTACTGCGACTAATCGCCTTGACGTGGAATTACGTTCCGAGATGTTTGAGACAAAGCCGGGGTCAAAAAGTTAGAAAAATTCCTGTTGTGATAATGAACAATTTTAATTCAGGGCGAAAATTCTTTAAAACCACCCCAATCTGTTTGTATTGTTTTGATTGGGGTGATTTTAAAGAATTTTAATTTTAGGAAATTTTCGCCCTCAATTAAAATTGTTTATTATCACAACAGGAATTTTTCTAACTTTTTTACACCGGCTTTGTCTCAAATATCTCATCGTCTCGGAACGTAATTCCACGTCACAGTACTAATTTAATTATTTCCCGTTTCGAGTGGTTTTTTGGGTGTTAAATTCTCAAAAAATATTTTATTGATTTTATTATTTTTAAATATTTCATTTTTTTTTTTTATAATAGCGTGATTGGAATTCGGGCATGGTTTTGTGCGATTTGGTGCACTCTCTGGGTGGGCCAGTGCCCGGCTACAAAAAGCTGACTGGCGATGCCGACAGTTGGGAGAACAACCTCAATTTAGGTAAGTAGAGTGGCCGCTCGCCAAAATTATCGTCTCGAAGGTAATTTCGCGCCGACCTTTAGGCATCGGCGGCGGCCAGCGACTTGGAGTCCAGCCAATCCTCAAGGCCAAGGACATGGCTGACCAAAACGTGGAGCACCTCGGCGTGATGGCGTACGCGGCGTACTTCCAATGGGTGAAGGCGCGCAACCAGCCGAGCGAACGCCTCGCGGCCCACTGGACGCAGCACAGCTCCAGAATCAACAAATCGGTACTTTTTTTAAAATTTTTATTCAAACTTATGTGAAATATTCATATATCTCCAGGCACAATTCAAAATTGAGTGCTTGGAAGACACGGTAGACGTTAGTGATGTCAAGGTCGAAGTGGTCGGACCCTCCGGAAGGCTGGACTGCCGCTTTAATATGACTGCAAACGGCGGTCAGGGCAGTTGTACCCCGAACGAAGTTGGAATGTATCAGGTAAACTTTTGATAGCGAGTGAAAATAAAAATTATTGATATATTTTATTAATAAAACAGCTTTTTGTCTACTGCGAGGGTGAATTGATTCAGGGCTGCCCCACCAGTCTTAGAGTAATGCCAGAAGTGACCACCATCTCATACCCAGGGATGGAACCTTGTGCCATAGGATCAATTGTTGAAGTTCTGGTAAGTAAACAGAAAAATAATTAGCCTTTATATATGCAAATTCCCATTAAAAATAAAGAATTTAGTTGCAAAATAATGATATTTAGTTGCAAGTGATAATTTAAGTAGGTATATTAAATTTGAATATGACAAAAATGTTCATGATTTTATTTTTTGTATTTTAAAAACTAAATTTAAAACGTTTTTGGTATTTTTTTTTTTTTTGAAGATTGAATAATTTATTGATAATAATAGCTACACAGTAAATAAACTACAATCAATATACGTAAAAAAATTTAAAATAAAATTATTATTTTAAAATAAGTTATTTAATATTTTGAGCAATTTTAACATTGAATATATAATTACAAAGTAATATAATAAAATTAATAATTTTATTTTATTTTCAATATTTGTACTCTTTTTAGTTTGGCTATATTTTTTTTAATTGAATATGAATCATATAAAAATAAAACATAAATTTTCAACCAATTACATAGCATTTCATAAGATGTAAACCTTCACTGTAGAATAGATTAGAATAGAATAGCATTTTTATTTCATTAAATTATGAACGCATTGAAAACTTAGAACTATGTCAATTAACTTACACTTAAGACAATTTTCACTCAAAATTACAGATAAAGAATTCATTCAAGTCATAAAACTGTAACAGCTCCTTTGTTTTTTTCTATATCCACAATATAATTATACCATTATCTACAATACTAATTCGAAGGAAATATTTAATTTAATGAATAAATTATTAAAAACATATTTATAATTACAATGGGCACTCTCAACTTAATAAAATTACGCATAATTTTGGGTTCTTAAATTTTCAACTTTCTACTTCTTAAATTATCATTGTGGTGTATTTGTCCAAATTGCTACATCACACTGTTTACATTCAATTGCTGAAAAATAATTATTTGAAAAAAAAAAAGAATTGTTAGACAAAACTCTTGATTAAAAATTAACTTCTTTGTCGGCAAAACAGATTTTGTCCACATATTTTTAGTCATTTTTATTTAAATAGTATAAAAAACACTCCATAATCTGTCATTTTATGGATCACCATAAAAGCAATATAATTAAAAAAGTGTTATCTTTATTACAAGCGTAGACAAATAATGACTCATTTTGTAGCGACGTTTTCAAATCTAAAAAAAAATAAAAAAAAATTGCTCTCGTTTTGTGGCGCAGGTCAATAGTTACGGTGCCAAGGCGGGAGGAGTGGAGGTGATCGCGCATTCGCCCACCGGCAGACAACTCGAGTGTCCGGTCAACGAGCGCGATGGCGTGTACACGGCCAACTTCCAGCCCGACGAGGCCGGCGAGTGGAACATCCACATCACGCACGGCGGACAGAACATCCAGGGCGGGCCGTACACCTGCTTCGTTTTCGACCCGAACGGCATCAAGTTGGAAGGTTTGGACGGCGCCGTTCCCGGGAGGCCGCACAGTTTCGTTTGCGACACTTCGGCGACCGGTGGGCTCGGTGACGTGGTGCTCGACATAACCCTTTCCGGCAAGTCCATCCAGCATCAGGTCGAGGAGCTCGGCCCGAACAGATACAGCGTGTCCTTCCTGCCCGCCCAGCCAGGGAAATATAAGGTTTACGTCTACTTCAACGGCGCTGAAATCAGAGGTGAATTCATGAATTAATTTTTGATTTGAACAAATAATGAATAATATTTTTCAGGTTCTGCTTTTAGTATGCGAATTGGCAGCTACAAAAGCACAAAGCAACACAGTTCCAGTAAATCGCACCATAATAGTTACGCAGAGCAAAGCAGTGAGTTTTATTAAGGACAAAATAATACTCAAAATTTTAATAAATTAATTTATTCATTTTATTTTTAATTATTCTAAAATATTAATGTTTCCAAATAAATCATTCAAAATTAACACTTTTTGGGCTTAATTTTCTTTTGCAGTAACTTTTTCCATCAAAAATCACTATTAATTTATGTACTTTTATTAATAATAACATAACAAACTTGATCAACAGGCCATAGATTGAATAGGGACACTCCAAGCTACTCATATAAAAGTAATGATAACCCCTCACCACAGTACTGGTACAATAACTCCAATAACACAAGACTGATTCAAGGTACTCTTTTCTTGTTGATTAATTTTACCTTTTTCCAACTGCACAAAATCCGTCAAACTTCTTTTTGATTGCATTATTTGAAATCAGATGAATATCGGCAACACACGCCACCGATGGTCAACACGTCGGACATTTACGCCGTCAGCACCAAGAAGTTGAATTCGACCATGAACTCGACCCTGAATTCATCCTTAAATTCGACTTTGAACTCCCCGAAGCAGGTGACGTCCACCTTAACTACTCATTTGCGAGAAGTGTCACCGATTCGTTCTCCTTCGCCTCGACTTGTCCACGCGCCATCGCCGGTCACCTACAGTGCTACGGTCAAACACTCTGACTCGTCATTCAGCAACAATGGTAAATTTTTTAATTTAATAATAAAATTCAATTAATTTGCGTCGAAGTAAAAGAAAGGAAAATAAATTGGAAATATTTCTTAATTTATTTTTTAGAAGAATATTTTAATCAAAATTTATATTCGCAGAGTACAGCACGAGCAGGATAACCTCAGAGAGCAGATATCACAGCGAGAATAGGTACTCGAGCAGCAATGGCCGACTTTTGTCCCCGCCGTCGCCTCCACCCCTGCAGATTCGCAGCTCGCCCCTGATGAATGGCAGCAGGAGCCCCGCATTCAGCCCAACGAACTTGAGAGCCACGCCGTCCCCCAAGCCACCTGGCCAGGTTGATACTTCGTCCAACGTTAGAGGTATTTGAATTTAAAAAAATTTCGAAAAAATTATTAAAATTTTTCTTTTAGTTTCGTCCATGATGAATAATTTGAACCAGAGACGCGACTCGTGGGACGCCTTAGCAAAAACCAAATCGCTTCTTTCGCACGGAAGTCTTGAGTCTGTCGCCAATGTAGCTGAAAAAATTGAAATAAGTGAGTTTTTTTTAAACAAAATTTTATGTAAATTTCAAATTTTACTGCATTGCTTATTTTCATTTAATTTTTTTAGGACGTCCCTCTTTTGAAAGGTCCTCGTTTGACACGCAGCAGCAGCATCGCTCTTCGTATGACACGCAGCAGCTCCGAACCTCCTCTTATGACACCCAACAACTTCGGTCCTCGTTCGACAGCCAACAGCATCTTCTGAGCCACTTTTCGGCGCCGGCCGACCAACCCAAGCTGGTCGCCGTCCACAGACAGGCGTCGGTGCGCTTCAACACACCTGGCTACGACGCCATGGACGTGTCGGCCTATGTAACTGGGCCGTACCTGAGGAGCATCCCTTGCAGCGTCTCGCAGCGCGGCTCTTCCGAACTGGCCGTCAACTTTGTGCCCGTCGATGTTGGCGAGCACATTGTGGAGGTCAAAAGCGGCGACCACAGAATTGGCGGATCACCAGTCAAGTCAGTTTCAATTTATTTAAAAATAAGTAGCATTTTTTTTTTTAATTTCAGGTTTTTTATAATGGTTTAGAATAAATTTTTAATTTTTTTTTTATTTGATTTATTCAGGGCGCATGCTTTCAACTCCCAGGCCATTCAAGTTGGACGCATTCCTGACGGATTTGTAGGAAAATCAGTGGAATTTGAAAGTAAATATGATTTTAAGCGTGTATTAAAAAAAAATTATATTTTTATGGAGAAAAATTATTTATAAATTTTTGCTGCAATTTTTAGTTGACGGTTCGAGGGCTGGCTCTGGAAACCTAGAGATTCTTGTGAACGGGGGCCACGTGACAAGTTTTGTGCGCGACCTGGGAAATCAGCGCTTCATGGCATCGTTTGTGCCGCACGAACCTGGGTCACACTTGGTGGAAATGACCTTCAATGGCGAACCAGTGCCAGGTAAGAATAACAAATCACGTCATTCTTAAACAATTATGCTTCAGGTTGTCATTAAGCAATTTATTTTAAAATATCACAATTTAACTGTTTTTATTATGTTAATATTAAATTTAAAAAGTAATTATTTTGGTTTTTCGTAATTTTTTTTAATATACGGTTTTAATTTTTTTATAAGAAACCAAGTTAAATACATTTTCAAATAAATCAGAATTAAATTTTATATTGGCACTGAATGGCTATAATTTGAAATAATTATAAGCTGAAACTTAATCCAGAATCAGGTATTGGGTTGTTCATTTCATCAACTCTTTTTGTTCTTTATATACTTTTTATAAAAACCTGAATACTAGAATTATAAAATTTAATTTAATCCTTAATCTCCGGTGAAAATGCTAATATTTAAATGTATTCCTCCTTATCTTAATTTTGGGGGACATAATAAATTTAAATAAATTTTATTTGTACAAGGTTGAAGATAAAACACATGCCAGCATAAAAAGCAAAGAGTTAAAAGAGTTCCTCTGCCGGTATATTATCTTGTATACATTAGCGCAGTAAATTTAATACATTGTGCGGGGCCGGAGATGTTATTGTGGGAAAAAGACGAGGCCGCGTTGCCGCCGCAAGAATCCGACCGGTAGAAATGCAACGTCGCCGCGCAGGGAGCCGCTCAGGTAAGCAGTCGTCGAGCCTGCGGAGGCGAGAAAAGAAAGACGCTCGCTGCTGTCAGTGCGCGATGCACCTGTTAGGCTTCCGGCTGGTCACCCTGTAGGCGCGACCGCTGCGACCCTCGCACCTCCAGCCCTGGTAATCACACCCCCCTCGTCCTTTTGCCCATTTAACCCTTTGGCCGGCACCTGAGCAGACGTCTCAAGTCGAGGACACGTAAGCCGCGCGCTCGCTCGGGTCACGCCTTTTGCCGTCGTGGCCGCCGAAAGGTAGAGCTTTTCTCGTTTTTCCCACAGCTTCGGAGATAATTTTTCAAAATTTCGAGCCGACGAGCGCCGAGTTTGGGCATTTTCTGATTTTATAAGATGAAATTTCTAAAAATCGGAGCCAGTGAATCGTCTTCACCGGCGTGGCCTATTTTTATGCAGGTTTTCTCTAATGAGGCGAGCAACCGCTGCGCTTTTTCTCGCCTCCCAAGAGCAATTATACGCGGTGTGGATTTTTATTATTACGCTTGGATTGTTTGTTTTCGCGAGGAATTTGTTGTCTTTAGTCCACCGTGTGTTATCAGTTAAGTCTTGCTCGTCAGGGCCGCCGTCGCCAATTCGCGCAATGTTTGTGCGACACTTAATTTTTTTTCGCTCGTCGTCATCACTTTAGTAGTTTCGGCCTTTTTCGAGAAAGGACGATAACCTCATTTTTCGCTCTCTTCGTAATTCTGCAGGTGGAAGTTTTTTCACTGTCGCGATTTGCATGAAGCGAAAGGTGTGTGCTGGTCAGAAAGGGGGAATATTTATGTAAAAATAGCATATGCGGCGAGAAAGAAGCTGGAACGGTGTTTCGTTATGTGGGTCAAGGGGTCGGCCGCTCAGATTATGTGCTGCGCAGAGTCGAAATCTTGAGAGATACATTGCCGTGCGTACTCGATGCGGAGCAAAGCACTTTTTGCCTTTTTTGTTTGCGAAAAAAATTAGTTAATTTTATGTTTCACTGGCTGAGCGCAGCAAACTTGTTTTTCGTGCTTTCATTTTTACAAGAAAAAAAGTAGTTAACGAAATGATAAATGATAAGAAAATAAATTATTTAAAAAAAAATCAAGTTTATTTTAAATACAAAAAAATTTACAAGGAAATCTGTGTTAGGGGCGGTCAAGATTTTTTTCCACTTTTGAATCAATCAGCCGTTTTAATTTAGCGTTACAACATTTTTTCCCAATTGGATCACGTAGGCGCCCAATAACGTTTTATAAAAGCAAAATGATCCTCGAGTATTATGTTTTTTGTTTTCAGTTAATAATCTTCATTAATATTCTTCAGCCTTCAATTATAAAAAATATTGATACGTGCCATTCATAGTGATTTGAGTTTAAAATCGGCTTTTCCTCGATGGGTTTTGTGATTTTTTTAACTGTGTATTTAAGAAAAAACAATATCCTGCTCTACATGATTAGGCTGCAGCCGTAATTCATGAGCTTTGATATTTTTTTGACCAAAATTAGCACAAAAATCCTTATTTTTAATAATATTTTTCCTCTAAATTAACACATATTTGTGAAAAATTATTTAATATTAATTACATTTTTACACAAAATAATTTTTGACGCAAAATTTGACAAATGCATTCAAAATTTTCTTAACAAATTAATTTTCATAATTGGTCAGAATATTGAAACGTGTTTTGAGTTTACCTTTCTCGGCGGTGGTCAAGAGTAGACAAAATTATCTTTCGATTGTATTTTCTTAAACAATAAATAACCCATCGAGGAAAAGCCGATTTAAAATTCAAATCACCATAAAAATGTTTTGTCAAATCTTTTGGCTGACCTAAAAAGCAATTGTATAATTACTAACAATAAACAATTGTTATTGTTTGTGTTTTAGGTAGCCCGTGGCAGGTGGGAGTGATGTCGTCGTCAGCCACCAGTCCGCCGCTGCCAGTGGCTTCGTCGACCAAGATGACTGTCCTCGGAGAGACAGTTCGTCTGGTGGCGTGTGGAGCCCCGGCCGCTTTCGAACTCAGCGCGCCGGGGTTTGATCGCGACGAAATCCAAGTCCAAATCATAAGTAAGTACTGATGCATTTTTTCTTAAATTTTATTAATATTAATACAAATAAATGGATCAAATTTTAATTATACGATTGTGAATTGATTCTAGGTCCGTCCAAGCGGCCTGTGACCTCTCGCTTGAATGAGCAGGGCGCGGGTCAGTTTCGCGTGCAGTTCGTCCCCAAAGAGGTGGGCAGTCATCTAGTTGAGGTGAGCATTGGTGGCTGCAGCCTTCCTGGAGGACCACTGGTCGCCAAAGTTTACAACGCCGCCCTGATCCGAGTCACCGATATTGGCAACGGAGTCGTTGGTCAATCGTGCCAATTTAAAGGTGCGTAACAAAATAATTTACAACATTATTTAGTATTAAGTTTTTAATTTATTAGTGTAGAACTTCAAATTTTTAATTTTAAAACAAATCATTTTACTATTTATTATTAAATTTAATAAATATTAATTTTATTATATAATTTTAATTATTTTAATGCTAATTTAAATTTTTAAGCGCGCATTTCTTTATTTAATTTCATTTTGTCTGAATGGAGAATAAATAAATAAATTATTAATTAATTAAAATTTCCAAGAACAGTATTATATAGTAGTTCAATCTCAAATAAATTTAATCTATTGCTGATGTTATTGCTGCTTCAGAAAATTGAATAGAATGTAATTTTTTATTGATTATTATTTATAAATATTGGGAAAAAATTATAAACATATGGTTCATAAATTTTGTATTTATCAAACTCCAATACAAAAATTATTTCAGTTGACGCAAGTCAAGCCGGCGAAGGGCAACTAGAAATCTCTGTCAACGAAGGCGAAGTGCCTAACCACGTTGCCGTGGTCGGCGGTGGTCGTTGCCTGGTGAGCTTCACGCCCGAGTTGGCCAAACCGCACACGATCGACATAAAGTTCAACGGCGAACCTGTGCCAGGGTGTCCGTTTGTTTGCTCCGTGTCCGACACCAGCCGCGTCAGTCTGACGCTGCGCAACCTCGAGTTGGTGCCGGTCAACGAAACCGCCAAGTTCCACATCGCGGTCGACGGCAGCGGCAGCGCCGAACTGGCCGTCTCGGTTCGAGGACCCGCATCCGAGCTGCCGGTAAAGGTCACTGGCAGTGTCCACAGCGGCTTCACGGCCGAGTTCACGCCTAGGGACGTCGGCACCCATTCCGTCACTGTCGAGTACAATGGACACCCAGTGGCGGGAACGCCTTTTGTGGCAAAGGCTTATGACCCCAAAAGGGTCTTCGTCGGGCCTCTGCCAAGAGGATCTGTCGGAAAAAGTCTGCAGTTCACAGGTAAATTTATTTACTTTGTGTTATTTTGATTTTTGAATACAAAATGAATAATATTAAAAAATAATCAAGGTAAAAAATTTTTCAACTTGCATAAAAAAAGGAATACATACCAAAATTTTTACTTTTAATTAAGAAATTATTTTAAATGACTCAAACATTTTATCTTTTTTGTTAATTAAAAGTAAATGTATGTATTTCATTCTTTCAAGCCTAGTTTTCCTCGCAGAGTTTCAGTAAAACCACGTAGAAAAAAACTTAAAATTTAAACCCTGAAACTACTTTACACTAACAAGACAAACAAAGACAAAATCCTCTACACTAATTAGAACTTAGAACAGAAAAAAAACACACACAACTATTAAAATAGAAAAAAAATAGATGTTTTGTGGAAATTGTTCTTTGTCACACCATTTTTGTATATATTTTTTTTAAATATGCTAAAAAAAATAAAAAAATTTGGATTTTCAACTCAATGCTGAAATTTATAGAAAATTTTCATTTGTTGCTCTTCAATTCTTTATTTTTTCATCATCATCATAAATTTATTGGACAAAGCATATGTATTGTATACAACAATACAAAAATATGCAAGAATATACATCAATATTTATTCTTTCCATACAATCTTTGACAAACTTATTTCCTTCCGCACAAATTTAATTTTATATCCAATTTTTTATTTTTATTTCCAAGATTTAATTTTGAAATATTTCTTCTTCTTCCCAAATACGTTAACAAATTTTGGCTAATGAAACAATTGTTCCTCGTTTTCATTTTTAAAGTTGACGCAAGCCAGGCGGGCGAAGGCAACCTGGAAATCACGATAAGCGCGCGTGGCCACAACATCCCGACGCAGGTGCACCCGCAGGGCAACGCACGCTTCGCCGTCAGCTTCATTCCGCTCGAGGCCACCGACCACACGATCAGCATCAACTTCAACAAGGTGGCCGTGCCCGGGTCGCCGTTCGTCGCCCGCGTGGTGGCCGACCCGCACCACATCATCGTCAGCGGACAAAACCTTTCTTCGTCGGCGGTCGGAAAGCCGGCGTTCTTCACCATGTCCAACGTGACCGCGGCGCTGGACGACATCGAGGTCAACGTTGAGGGTGAGTGTCCGAAAAAAAAAATTAAATTAATCTGACCAATTAAAAGTGAGTATATTCATGTCTGTAAAATAATGTCTCTCATTTATTTTTAAGTGCAGCAAAAACTCTTTCATGAGCACTTTTCACTCTCTTTGCGCGTGAAGAAAATTCAATTGAATGAAAACGAAATGGGCAAAGTACAAGGGCCTTTCTCTCTTGCCCTTCCCTCTCCTGTCTCCCGTGTCGCGGTTTCAACCACCAAGAATTAATTAAAAAAAAAATCACGTTTGTACCTAAAAGTACAAAATTTAGTTTGATAATTTTGCTCGATGTTCTTGTTGGTTGTTTTTTTCTCTCGACTTCGCCTCCTCAACCAAACCGTGATGTTGCAGGTCCCTCCTCCGTTGGTTCTCGTCTAAGACACTTCTAACTCACACGCAGACCGACTACATCTCTTTCCTTTTCACACCCCTGCTCGCGTGTGACTGTTACTCTCTGCTAACATTGTTTTGTTATAATCTAACTTTAATTAAGTATTAGCACAATTATTATATTTACAACTAAGTAAGGCTGCAAATGATCACGCTAATTTTTTTTCTGCCTCCCTCTTTCTGATTTTACTTTGTCTTTCTTTCTCTCCGAATGTGTTTCACTCGACTTTTGCTTGGTGCTGGTTGGCTGACAGCTAATTATGAATGCAAAATTAACGCTTTTGTTGGCGCAACGAGACTCGAGACTGGTTAACAATGTTACTTAACAGGACCGAATGGACAGTCAGTGGCTGCGCAGGTCAAAGACAGCGGCAACAATTCGTTCCGCGTCGAGTTCAGTCCGCGCACCGCCGGCGAACACCGCATCGCCGTGTCCGTGGCGCGAGAGCCTGTGCCGGGGTCACCGTTTTCCTGCAAGGCGTACGATGTCAAGGCCATCAAGGTCAAGGCCGCCACCACTGGCTCCATCGCCAAACCGGTCACTTTCCTTGGTATGCATTTTCAAGAAAAATAATTTGAAATAAAATAAATATCGTGACGCAACATTTTTATTTTATTCTCGCAGTTGAAACAAGTCAGGCTGGACCAGGAAATCTCGAGGTGACTGTCAATGGTGGGCGCGTGCCCACCTCAGCCCAGGCTCAGGGCATTCACACTTACGCCATTTCTTTCACTCCGAGGGAAGCTTCACTGCACACGGTGGAGCTCAAATTCAACGGCGAAGACGTTCCAGGTAATTATTTATTTTTAATTAAACCTTTTTATAAGTTTATTAAATTTTTTTTTTTTTAAATTTTAGGGAGTCCATTCTCAGTTACAATTAATGAAGCTGCTAGGATAATGCCTGGTGCTGAGGAAAAAGTGCCTGTCGGCAAGAAAGCGCAGTTTTGGCTTCACGCCGCTCAAGGGAAGCCTGTCATTACCGTGCTCAGTCCATCAAGACGCGCTTTGGAGGTCGAGATCACCGAACCAGCGCCCACAGACCCGCGAGCCAATCAGCTCAATATTTCATTTACGCCAATTGAAGTTGGTAGGTTCATTGAAATTTAAATTATTCCTACAAAGCATGAAATTAATAAAAAAAATTCAATTTTTCAGGGGACCACAGTGTTGAAGTGAAAATTGCTGAGGCACACGTGGAAGGATCACCTTTCCTACTCAAGGCTTACGACTCTACAAAGGTCAAGGTGACTGATGTGACCTCTGGAGTTGTCGGAAAGCCTGTTTACTTCAGCAGTAAGTTATTTTTTTTTCCAAAAATAATATTTTCAAAAAAATTTAATTGATTTGTTTTAATTTATTTTTTCAGTAAATGCAAGCCAAGCCGGCGCTGGGAATCTCGAGATCATTGTTTCCGTCAATGGACGCAACGTTCCCAATTATGTGCAGTCCGAGGGCAACGCCAGGTTCAGAGTCAACTTCAAACCGCAAGAGACGGCACCGCACCTGCTAAGTGTGCGATTTAACGGCGAATTGGTGCCTGGCTCGCCGTTCACTTGCAAAATTGTGGACGCGGGCCAGGTCGTTGTGTCAGGTCAAGCCCTGCGACAGGCAGCCATCAGCCGCCCAGCGTTGCTGACGATCGACCCTCAAAATCCCTCCGTCCAAGAGTGCGTGGTGACTGTCCTTGCGCCATCTGGCCAAAATGTACCCACGGTTATTTCTGGCTCGGCCCAAGACAAATTCTTTGCCACATTTACACCATTTGAAGTTGGTTAGTATTTTTATTATTTTTAAATTTACAATTTTATATTATTATTAAAATTCACAGGCCGGCATGCAATATCAGTGGTATTGGATTCTGAGCATGTGAAAGGCAGTCCATTTGCGTCCAACGTTTATGATGTGAACCAGGTCAAAGTCACCGGACTCAATCCGTTGGGTGTAAGTAGAAATGTAAATCTAAGTGAATTTGAATATAATTTTTATTTAATTTTTTTCCTTAGCACGTTGGAACCCCAGTTCCCTTCCAAGTAGACGCAGCCGAAGCTGGTGAAGGAACCTTGGAGCTTGTGGTGTCCACGGCGCAAGGAACCGTCAAGGCTGAGGTGGTTGCTTGTGCCAGAGGTCTCTACAGGGTCACTTTTGTCCCAACAAGGACAGAACCGCACTACGTCCACATTTCCTTCAACGAAGAAGACGTCCCTGGCAGTCCTTTCGAGTGCAGAGTGGCCGACTCGTCCGCCGCCCCGTCGGAGCAAGTTCTGCGTCGGTTGTCCGCACCTGAAGGCCTTGAGGTCAAAGGCGAAGGTCTGCATTTGGCGGTGGTCGGGGCGCCTGCGTTCTTCGACGTTGACCCTGGAGGGACGGAGCCTCCGGACATTGAGATAATGGGGCCGGACGGATCCGACATCACCGTCCGACTGGTCAAAGTGCCGGAGGGACGGAAGTACCGCGCCGAGTACCGCCCCACCATGGTCGGTGTCCATCAGGTTTGGGTCAGAAAGGAAGGCCTGGCCGCTGCCAACAACCCCTTCGAAGTTGAGGTCTTTGATCCGAGCCAGGCCAGCATTACACACGTGTCTGAGGCAGTCTGCAAACAACCTGTCACCTTCACCATAGACACTTCCAAAGCCGGACGCGGTTCTCTGACGGTTTCTGTCAAAGCTGCCGGAAGAGACGTCAAGGCGGCTGTGAGGGACATTGGCCACGGAAGACACGAAGTTTCCTTCTTGCCGTCTCTGAGCACCCCACACCGAATCGACGTCAAGTTGAATGGCCTCCACGTCCAAGGCTGTCCGATGGAAATTGCAGTCCGCGACAAAACCACAGCCCGCGAGATGGCTGCCTCCGGTCGAGGTCTTTACCAGGCGCAGGCAGGCAGAGAGGCCAACTTCACCATCGACACGCTGGGTCGGCAGGCCAGGGAGTTTGACGTCGTCGTCACCGGCCCTGGTGGAATTGCGGTGCCTGTCAGGTGCTACCAGCAGAAAGATGGAAACCTCCTGGCGCAGTACACACCACCAGGTGCCGGATCTTACACCGTTGAGGTTCTGCATGGGACGAAGGCGGTCAAAAACTCCCCCTTCTTCTGCCAGGCGTTTGACGCGTCGAAGGTGCGCCTCGCCAGCATCGCCTCAAAGACAACTGTCGTCCACGAACCGATTTCTTTCCAAGGTAAATTAATTTATATAAATGTTTCCTGAAATGAAATTTAAATTAAAAATTAATTATTTCAAATGTTTAATAAATTTTAAAAATTTGCAGTTTTGAGGAAGGGCGCTGGTTTTGCGGAACTTGACGTCACCGTTACAAGTCCATTGGGACAAAATCTTCCCCTGAACGTGACCAGTGGAGATCAAGCAGAGTCTGATTTGATTACATTCACCCCGAGTGCACCAGGGCAATACAGATTTAACATCAAATATGGTGGACAAGAAATACCAGGTAATACGATTTTTTTTTAAATTTGAATCACAAGGTGCATTAATTAAATCTTAAACTATTTATATACTTTTTAATACAAAATTTTTGGAAATAAATTTAATAATTTCAATTTAAACAATTTTTAAATAAACTTATTATAATAAATGTAGCAAAAAAATTAATTAATAATAATAAAAATATGTTGTAAAAAGAAAATTTAAATTTATTTTTTAATTTGCAAAAATTCTTACTTTATTGTATTTATTTTTATATATTTTTATAACATTTTAAAATATTTCCTCAGGTTCTCCTGTCTCATTTGCGGTCGCTGAAGAGGGTTTTGCAATGCAGAAAGTTAGCAGTGATGTGCTTGACACAAGCAGTAATGTGAGAGCAAATGGAATGGATTACGGCGAGGTCAGTTTGAATGGTCCTGCGCTGGAGGGCTGCAGGGTTGGAAGAGAAACCTACTTCATGATCAATTCCTCCAAGCCCGTACCAGGTAAATATAAAAATAATAAAAAAAAACAGGATTTAAATTTTTTATCCAATTTAGGCAATCCCGAGGCAGTTCTGATTCTGGACGGTGTCAGCTACCCTGTGAGCATCAAGCCGGAGGGCGTGCGGGCGCACAGAGCCACCTTCACCCCTGCCGAGAGTGGCAACTACAAACTGCACGTCAAGTGGGCTGGCAAGGAGGTCAAGGGGTCGCCCTTCTCAGTGCTCGTCTCCTCCGTGGCCGATGCCAGCCAGGTCGTCTGCTCTGGCGAGGGTCTCAGGGTGGGCACCGTGGGCAAAGAGATCCGCTCGTTTCTGGACACTCGCCGGGCTGGCCCTGGGGAACTGACGGCCCAGTGCGTTGGCCCCAACAAGGTGGCCTACTGTGAACTGTACGACCACGGCGACGGCACCTTCACCCTGAACGTCAAACCTCAGGAGGCGGGAAAACACGCTTTGTCAATCAAATACGGAGGTCAGAAAATATAATTTAATTCATGGAAAGTTAATAATTTCGAATTTTTCAATCAGGTCAGCACGTCCCTGGAAGTCCGTTCAGTTTGAGAGTCGCAGGGTCACCTGATGCATCAAAGGTGCGGGTCTTCGGACCTGGAATTGAACATGGAGTCCTTGCCACCTTCCAATCGCGATTCATCTGTGACACCAGGGGTGCTGGAGCCGGCCAACTGACTGTCCGCATTCGAGGGCCCAAAGGTCAGACAGAATTTATTAAAAAAAATCCTTATTGATCAAATTAGAAATCTTATAATTCACAAAATAAAATATTTTTAAAGACCAACTTCATTTAAATTTCCATTAAATTTTATTAACTAAATTAAAGTTTAAATATTTTAATAAATTTTTAATTTTTTCAGGTGCTTTTCGAGTTGAGATGCAAAGAGAGACGCAGAGAGACAGGTCTATCCTGTGTAAATACGAGCCCACGGAGCCAGGCGACTACAAGTTGGAGGTCAGGTGGGCAGGTCAACACGTCCCAGGGTCTCCGTTCTCAGTGATGATCTTCGACACGCAAGAGGAGCTCAACAAATTCATGCAAGGCAACGGGTCGCCGCCCGGAGCGCCGGCGCTGTCCGAACTGTACGGCAGCGTCGGCTACTCGAGCGCAACCTACTCGTCGCCGCTCGCCCTTCACCAGCACCAAGCACCCTGGCAAGGGTCGCAAGCCCAACTGTGAGACAGTTTTATGAATTGAGAAATTGATTATATTTGTGAATGCCTTTTTTTATATTCATGATCAACACACAAATTAAATGCCATATTTAAATGTACGCCTTGCAATGTTATCATAAATATTTAAAAAAAAAAATGTTGATAGTTTGTTTATGGTCTATTTAATCTCAAGAGCTAATAGCTAATAATGAAAAATGGTAACATCCCAAAATGTTATGTAATTTTGTGTGGGAAAATATATTCTGTTATGTAATACAACTCAATTTGTTTAATTTATTTAATAAAATAATATTTTAATTATTACAAACATTCCATATTCAAATCAGTAATTATAACAAAAATGGTCCACCAAAATTATTCTTGAAGTTTAAATTCAATTCATTAAAAGACGCAGAAATTCATAACGAATTAAATTTAGTTCACTAGAGATAATTATTTAACTTGTTATTTTTATTAAGTTAATGTATAAAATGTAGTTTAAAAAAAACGACATACGGATGCGAAGCAAGTAATTTGATTTTTGAAATTATTGAATGATACTAAAGGTTATCCGTTATTTTATTACTAAAAAATCTATATAATTTATTGACATGCTTTTGGCTTACTTCAAAATATTGCAAAAACTGTTTTATTAATTTTAACAATAAATTTAATAATATGAATAATTGATATTAAAATAAATATAAATTAAAATTTGAAATAAAAATTTATAAATTATTTAAAATAGAAAGTTATTTTTAAAAATGAATAAACTAAATTTAAACTGAAGAAGTTGACACTCGAGGAGATGATCATGGAAATGAAGATTCGGGCTTTTCCTCGTTGCAAAAAATTGTTTTTTATTCAAAAACAAATTCAAGTACCAACCTATTTCATGAGCAAACGCGCTGCTCGCTGACTAATACAAGAATGAGCGCTCATTCTTGTATTAGTCAGCGAGCAGCGCGTTTGCTCATGAAATAGGTTGGTACTTGAATTTGTTAGTTTTAAGATTTTTATTTTTATGTTAAAATGTGGTTTTTTAAATTTTGCTGATTTTTTGTATTTTTTCTTGCTCATGAAATAGGGTCGCAGACCGTGACCGAAACTGGTAGAGCCGTTTGTTTTTGAATAAAAAACAATTTTTTGCAACGAGGAAAAGCCCGAATCTTCATTTCCTAAATTTAAACCTTTGATTTATTACTTTCAATAAATGGCCGCCGGATGGCGTTCGCTGCAAGTCCATTGTTGCCTACGGCGCAGGGGGCGCTTTTGGCGCACCAGGCGGGCTTGTATACTTCGCAACAAAATAATGAACCAAGTCCGCAACTCCGTGGAGCGAATCGAGCGACTGCAGCAGTCGACGTCCAGCTGTCCAGGAGAGTCACGAATTTCCAGCGGCCGAAGACGACGCATGCCGGACGCAGTGGCCAACTCGCTTGTCGACGAAAGGGCGTGCAACAAACCCAAGGAAAGGGTGAGTCGAGGGACGCAAGTGCATGTGCATGAGTCATCCCCAAACAGGGGTGGCGGAGGGGGTGTGTTTCGTTTAAAGGGCTGGACCGCCTCTCGTATGCGGCACATTGGGATTTAAACGAATAAATCTCAAACTGCACATTTATTAAATTTTCTTTGGGTTGGAAAATTTGATTTTGAATTTACCAAAATGAAAATAATTTTGAAATTTCCGTTTTTTTTACTGTTTACTTAATAAATTCTAAGCAGTTGATTATTTTATTAAGTTCAAGAAAATTGGTTTTAAAGTGGTGAGATAATAATTAATCAATCAATCAAAATGTGATACACAATCAACGCCCCTGCTGGCAGTTTACATTTAAAAAGCATTGTCTCTCGTTATAAGTGAAAATTGAAAATTATGGATTGTACTTCTTGAGTCCTTATCTGCGAGTGCAGCGGAACGATTTTTTTTTCACCGGCAGCCTTTGTGCACTTTGCAGACAAAGCGTGCTTTTCATGGGATGTCGTTAACTCCTATCGTAAGCAGCGAATTTCGGGAAAAATAATATAAGAATGGAAGAAAGAGCTGCGCTTCAGTGGAGCGCGTTGATGCAGCGGCGTTGGTTGCCATTAATTAATTCACCATTTGATTGCCAAAAGCAACAAATTAAAATTGATCTTAATTTGAGATTTCCTAAAATTATATATTTACCGTAATAATTAAAAATAAAGGCCACCTCAATCATTTCTGCGGAAAAAACAAGGACGTTTGAAACAATGCATTTTGCTCTCTCATTTTTTATTCAATCAATTGAAGCAATTAAAACGAACCCGAGATGTTCATTTAGGTGGTCAGCGGTGCTCTTTGCGTGCGAAACGGTCGTTCCGAGCTTTCCGAGCCGCCGCAAAAGTGTGCGATAAAACAATCAACGCGCTTGAGTTTCTCACACTTGTGCGCGGAACAAAGGCGATTGTTGTCGCGCAACACACACACAGAAGCACAGAGAAGATTTCACAAAATTTTAAACTAGCTCCACACATCGAAAAGATTTTTTTTATTTGCTTTACATGAAAATATAAATGAATAATTAAACTTGATTTCAGATGCGATTATAAATTTATTTGGAAGAAATAATGGGGTTTTTCACCATTCGTAATACGACTTAATTGTAATCATTTTTTTTTTTCAAAGAAATAATTTAAAAAAAAATCAATAACAATTTAATTATTGATAATATTGAATTTTTTTTACTTACTTTAAAAATTGAAATGTTTTCAACTGTCCCAATCTTGTCATATTTAAATATTGGAGTTGTTTTTATTGTTGATTGTAGTTTCTGAAGTTATATTAGCTGCTCTAAAAAATTATGGCAAAATGTTTGATAAAAGGTATTTTTATACCAAATAACTAATAAATTCAAATCTCCGTTTTTTTAATTCATTTAATTTATTGATGATACAATTAAAAAAGGGATTGAATTTAAGGCATTTAATTACTCTTCAACTGCATTAAGCATGTCTTTTTTTATTAACTTTGCTGATCCTGACGAGGGCCAGGCTTTTTTTTATGTTCACAATCAGTGGAAAGTTTTAGAGGAACAGTTTTGTTGTTCAGCTATAACAACTTAATTTTTTTTTATATATAACAGAAGAATAAATTTATTAAAATTTATATTTTTATTTAGTAAAAGAAATCATGTCAAAATTATTAAAATTATATCTTTTTCATAAAAAATAAATAATAAAAACATAAATAAATAAAAACAAAAAAAATTCAAAATTATGCAATAAAACTAAATAATAATAATATTAGTTAGTAAATATTGAAAATAATATTACCAGTATCATTGAACTAAATTAAATTGTACACATAAAATAAATATTTCATTTATTTAAATTTCCACTCCGATTTTAAAACATGCTTTTCCAAGAACAAAATAGTTTTCTAATAAATATCTGCAGTTTTATCCTTCACAACTAAAAATGAATGAATCTGGTTCAAAGTTAACAGAGAAACTATGTCGCCCGTATGTGCGTTTATTTCCCAGCTCGTCTTTCTCTCACACTTTTTGAAATTGGATACACAGAAAAACTTAAGGTTTTTTTTTGCTGCAAGTACGTCTTATGTACATACGTGGTGAGCATGATTGTTAATCGTCGCATTTGTAGCGCGGGTGACGTTGATTGCTGACGATGAAAGTCCGCGAACCGAACCAACTGCTCTTTTCTTCGCGGATCTGCGGAGCGAGACGTCGTCGTTGCTTTGTGCGCGCCCTTTGCTTGCAGCTTGACGCAGCCACGGAAAAAAATTTCTTCTCACTCTGCGGAGTAAAAAATTAAGTCGAACTGTAAATGAAAATTAGACTCGCGGCCAGCTGGTGCTGAATGATGATGACGAGCAAGAACAAAAAATAATAAAGTGAAATTGAAATATGGCGAGGTGGGCAGATTAAAGAATATAATTCCTGGATCTCAATTTGAGCCGGAAACGTGAAATTTGAGACACATGGCCGCATTTCGTGGTAGTAATACGAGTTTGGAGGACGAGTAATTCAAAGTCGTATAATTTTAAAGTTAATTAAGTTCGTGATGTCAGTTTATTCTAGAAATATTACGAACTAAATTAATTAAAATTTTATACCAAGTCATCTAATTTAATTAAAATTACCTCAACAACACGTAGTTTTTTAAAAAAAAATTATTTCTTTTTTGTATTAAATATTTCTTATAAAAGTTGTACTTGTATGAGAATTATCAATCTTTTTAAAATGAGCCCCCTGTGGTGAAAAAAAAATATTGAATAATTATGAAAGAAGCAACAGGGAGCTGTTTCAAAAATCCATTCGACTTTTTGACAACCCATTTAACTTGTGAGCCTTTTAAAACAATGATGCGTCACAGAAGCTCAAGCTTTTAAGCACTTAAAGATAAATTTTCATTATGGAAAGCCATGCGCCAGCAAGCTAAAGCAACACGAAAAAAATAATTTAATTATCAATGGCTGATGAATTTAATAAGAGAATTTCAAATTCCTCTATATCGCTGTTTGTAGATTTTAATCTTTATTTATTTATTTACAATTCAGGAAGAAAATGAAAATATCAGCACGGGCTTATTTTTATCTATTACTATCAACAGAACCAACAAGCCTAAGATTGAAATTTATATACACGGAAAGGCTTGAAGATTATCTTCTGTGAGTTTGGCCATTTATTATACTTGCAATAAATTTTATTTAACCGAGAGGGAAAGTCTTGATATTACGGAAAACCCAAGTCTTAAAAAAGAATTGGAATAAATAATGGAAATAATTTCATGAATAAAAATAAAGTCTTCCTCCAAAAAGAGAAGTTGGACACGGCACAATTTAATTATTTATTTAAGCTGTATTGATTGCAATGGGAAAAATCAGTTCTCTGATTTATGCGCAGTGTTTTATTCAAGATAAAGAATGTATTTTGGGCTCCGCTTCATTTGAAATTTATAAAAAGTTCCAGAAATTTTTAATTCCGTAATTTACGATAAAATACGCAATTTAAATTTATGAAAATTAACGCTACTGAAAATTTCAAACAGAAAAAATTAAACAAAATTGCATTGGGAATTAAACTTTTTGTTTCAAAATGAACCAGGCGAGTGTGCCCTCCCTGGAGTTAAGTTGTTTTATTATACCTGTTCATGATATGAAATTATCAAACTTTTTATCACGCAACTCACGCAGAATTTTGTAATGGTAAAAAAAATGAAATTTGTGTCCAGCGTGGACGTCTGGGGGGCGCGTGTGTCGCAGGTAGGCTCCGTGGCGCCGTCGCCGAATCGATACGACACAATCAGACGCCTGCTTTTGTATACGGCGCCCGGCGCTAACTACCACATGAATAACACAAGCACGCTCTCGTCAAATGCACGAAACGAATTGACATGTTTGGCCTTGAGCGAGAGCCACCCCAAAAGTCACTTGTTCACCGCGGACTTTCCTTTTGGACGAGATCCAATCTCAAGTCGTTCAAATCTTTTTAGAAATTTGATATTTTCTTTCATCCAAAGATGCAAAAATCTGCAGTTTATTAAAATATAAAGATAAAGTTGCATTTTGGCGTTTTCCCCCGTTTTTTCGTCCTTTAAATTTTTATCCTTTTCTAGCACATTAATTTTGCAGGACAAATTTGTTCAAGATCAGTTCAGTGTAAGTGAATGGAATGAATCTGTAAACTTTTCAAAAAAATTACAGCACCCTAAAATAAGATTTGGCTGTAAAATTTTTATTGCTGTTGTTTAATTTTGTCCAATTGTTGATGAAATAATAACCATTTTGACTCTCCACCTTAAAATCTTTGTGCCAATTTCAAGCATTTTATAATAAGAACTTTTAATCTTAATATAATAAAAATTAAGCGATTTGAAATTATTCTTTATGTGATTCAAAACATATTTTGTAGAAAAGTTTGCTCCCTATCAAGGGTTGTTTCATTTTTTTTAAACAGCTTTGACTCATTTAATTACTCAAACTGAAATTAACGCACCAAAAACGCAAAGTAATAATAAACAAATGCTTAAGAATTACCTTGTGCTTCTAGAAAAATCCACTTAAAAACATCATGATTAATTTTTGCTGATGTTTTTCAAAAAATTTTCATTCTGTTCAGTTTTGCATAAGAAATAAATATAATTTAAGTTAAAAAAGCCATTTAAATTCACTGGTGGTAAAATAAACACTTTTTAAGTGCAACGTGCATCTCTGCAGCATCAGCTTCACTTGTGATTGAAAATTCAAACGCATCGGTGACAGATAAGAAAAAAATCGAGCACCGTTAATGCGCCGGCACGCTGATTACGAGTGTTTGCTCGAGAGAGAGTCAACACTGGTGTCAGTTTTATGTCCGGACGCCGAATGGACGGACACCCAATACACTTACGTCCGCATATAGCGTCTCGCTTGATTGAAAGAGGATCAATCAAAAGCGAGATCGAGTTGCGGCGCAGATGCATGGATGCGTGATTGAAGCTGTTTGCGACAAA